TTTCCTTTTTTAACAGGGCACAGTCCTCGGAAAAATAGAGTTTGAAGATCAGCCTGTGGAATTTTTGGATCCCAACACACGGAATTTAACAGCAGATGTTTCTGTCAAGGTTGGTTTGCATTGGTTAGATTTGCTATTATATTTTTACTTGAGGTTTGCTTAAAATGATGAGACACAGAAGGCCAACTGGTGAGGACCCCCCACTAAAGAACTTCAACACCCTTTTTCTGTGGCATAAAGCACCTATAGGAGAATGTTCAATCCAATTCAATCCAGTAGGCTTAAATGCTATTTGGAATTGACAAATGGTCATTTTGTGGCCAATGCAAAGTTACCCACAATGGTAGAGGTGGCAGTAACCCATACATACATGCTTGTGTGACATGTCATTTCAACAGAATTCAGATCTTTTGTTCTTAAGGCACCCCTCGACGAGTATCAGTGGAAATGGGACTAAGAACTATGTCTTCTGGATTTTTGTTGATCCACTTCAATGCAATACGGACCAATCTGAGTAACTAGCCAAAGAACGTTCTTTAAGATTCTAATATGTCTAACCCTAGCTAGCAACTCTCCATTTTTTTACTTGAACCACATTTTTGTTTGAAACTTGCTAGGCTTGTAAACTGTAGGTTATGAGATGCATTAGTCAGAGTTCAATCCTCTTACCCTTTTTTAGGAAAGAAAAATCTTTGGCAAAGGCAATCCATATAGGGTGATAGCTGTTGATTGTGGAATAAAGCATAATATGATCAGGCATTTAGTGATGGTAAGTTTTAATTTCATCCCTAGTAATATGTGTTCCCCTACCTGGGAAACACATATCCCTAGCGATATGTGTTCCTTGGAAATACATATCCCTAGTGATATGTGTTCCCCTGCCTGTCTTTCCGCTCTGCTTTGATGGTTTGTTTGCTGAGGTGCCATTTCTGTATAAGCTTGTATGTGGCTTGACTGCACTACATTGTAAGTATGTCAGTTGATTGTTTCTTTGTTCTTGTTAAGCGAGGGGCTGAAGTTCATCTTGTACCTTGGGATTATGACTACTCAGAGGAGATATATGATGGTTTGTTTATTTCCAATGGACCTGGTGACCCTGCTTTGGCTTGGGATGCTGTTCTTAATCTCCGCAAGGTATGTGATACCAGCAACATTTAGTGTAGAGGTGTTAATTATGGGTTAGGGTTAAAAAAATACTGAAGTTTTTTTCAATCTGTCTGTTAAGGTTAAGGTCTTTATTTTATGTTGGTGACTTTTAACAGTGCTCATTAGACTGACAAACCTGAGGATGACGGTGGGCATATCCCCGCTTCCCCACCCTCCAACAGCGCTCCGTTTTATAGATATTTTAAGCTAGTGAAAGCTACACAGAAAGGAGAGAAGTTGAAATAAGTATTTAAGGTCTTAGCTGGCAATTGACTTGGAACCTCCTACATACAGGGTGCAAAGAAAATCATTTTTACAGCTTGCTATTCAGGCATGCTGAAGCTAGCATTCACTAGCCCAGACGTCATTTCAACTAGCCCCAAAAACGTTTTGAATAGCACAATTGCTTTCACAGTTCTTGTGTTGTTCGAATTCCTCAAAAAACGTCACTTGCCCAATAGCAAAATCTGCTAGCCCCGGGCTATCGGACACAACTTTCTTTGCACACTGTACATAGAAGGCCTTGCACTAACCAACTTTGTCATTGTGTTTGTTGCAGGTGCTGGACAGTAATCGTAGCCAGCCAGTGTTTGGAATCTGCATGGGAAACCAACTCACTGGACTGGCTGCTGGTGCAAAGACCTATAAACTGCCTCTGGGAAACAGGTTACTGTTAACTCCTGTAGAAATTCAATCAGCTAGGAAAGATCAAATAAATTTAGATAGTTCTTTAAACATCGGGTTGTATTCTAGAAGTGCCCAGAGGCCCCAGGTGGCTTATTTTTGTGACTAGGAAATCTTCCTTTTTGCACGGAAATTGTATGTTGGGCAGCCACGATTTCTCAGATAATTCAGAACATTGGGCTCTGTAAAATTTTTTCTTAGAGCACAGCCTTGAACATAGCAAAAAAATAGTAGGATTAAAAATTATTACTAGGTTACTATTAACATGGATTTGATTCTGGGCTGGTACTGATATTTGCTTGCTGTCTACAAAACAAAAACTGACTATCAATTTTCTCTCCAGAGGACATAATCAGCCAGTTATTAACCAGCTGAGTGGAGAGGCATTCATCACTTCGCAAAATCATGGATTTGCCATTGATGAGGCTTCACTCCCAGCAGAGTGGAACTCCCTGTTTATAAATGCCAATGACAAGACAAATGAGGTACAAGAAACCTAAGGTTGTAGAATCTTTGATTAAAAACTTTATTCTTGCCAACAAAGAAATCTAACAGGGTGGGGAGTTTTATTAATGGGGTGAGAGACAGGCGGTAGGGGGTGAAGGACAAGGGTTGAAAAGTAAGAGGGGAGGGGTAGGGAATATGAGGTGAAAGATAGGGGTAAAAGGTCCCTACCCCTCACACCCTATCCCCGACACCCCACCCCATAGCCCGTACCCCTTGCCCCCATAAAAGATCTGCAAATCCAACAGAAATAAACATTTACCTCTTTGAGCACACAGATTATAAAAGGTTATGATATTTACTACAAACTTGTTGTTATAATTTTAGGGAATTATGCATACTGAGAAACCAATATTCACAGCACAGTTTCATCCAGAAGCATTTGGTGGACCTACAGACACTGAGGTAACTATTATTTGGTTACGTTATCTTAGCCAACAGATAAAATCAGAGAAACTGATATGTTTTTCTAGTTTGAACTTTGAGTCTCTGTTTCTCTTCAGTTCTTGTTCGACACATTCATGGATCTTGTCAAAGGGAAAAAGACCTCAGTAACTCATGCCATGTCAAGACCTGTCAAAGTACCACCACCCCCTAAGGTAAGGCATTTGTCACATGACTACAACCCCTCTTACATACCTACAGCTCCAGAATGCTGATACATTGTATCTTTTACATGATCATAGCTGAAGATATTTTTCACCTGACCATATCCCTTTCTCAAGACATCTCATAAGTGACCTCTCTTCCAATAACAGGATTTCAACAGCTCTTAAGACTAAGGTACATTATTTCTCTTACATGGTCTCACCCCCTAGGGGAGAACATTTCAAACTAGCCCCCACCCTAATGGTAAAACAAAGCCCCGCCCCCTAAATTAAAACATTCCTTCCATTGCCCCACCCCCTGAGGTAAAATTCTTACATGGCCCCACCCCTAAGATGAAACATCTCTTACGTACCACACTCCCTAGGTACATTTCTTTTGTGATGCCTCTAAGACGTAAGGCAATGCTCACATATGACCTTGAAATAGAATTTTCAGTCTTACAAAATTATTGAAATGTTTTAATTGAAATCTTAGGTGTCCAAAGTTCTTGTGTTAGGATCTGGTGGCTTGTCCATTGGTCAGGCTGGAGAATTTGACTATTCTGGTTCTCAAGCTATAAAGGCTCTCAAGGTATGTTTGACTTTTTTTTTTTTTTCAACTAAGCTGCCTGTCTTGCCTGCCTGGTTTTGGCGGGATTGGCAGATGACTTCTTATCCCAATGGAATAACTTAGTTAGCCCCAAGAACCCACACTGTTTCTCTGGTGGATTGTTGACTGATATCATGTTGTAATTCAATCACTTGTGTTGCTCATTCGATCAATTAGTTGTTTTCTTTTTCTCCCTCGTGCCCTGGGTGCTTCTCTTGAGTCCTCAGTGTTAACCTTTATTGTTTTTCCAACAGTGCATAGATCTAAAGGTGTTTTGTTCAAATTACAGGAAGAAAACATTAAGACAGTTTTGATGAATCCTAACATTGCATCTGTTCAAACCAATGAGGAAGGAGAAAAGCAGGTAAAATAGTTAATGTTATCTAGAGTTCAATCCTCTTACCCTTTTTTAGGAAAGAAAAATCTTTGGCAAAGGCAATCCATATAGGGTGATAGCTGTTGATTGTGGAATAAAGCATAATATGATCAGGCATTTAGTGATGGTAAGTTTTAATTTTATCCCTAGTAATATGTGTTCCCCTACCTGGGAAACACATATCCCTAGCGATATGTGTTCCTGGGAAATACATATCCTTAGTGATATGTGTTCCCCTGCCTGTCTTTCCCCTCTGCTTTGACGGTTTGTTTGCTGAGGTGCCATTTCTGTACAAGCTTGTTCATAGCTTGACTGCACTACATTGTAAGTATGTCAGTTGATTGTTTCTTTCTTCTTGTTAAGCGAGGGGCTGAAGTTCATCTTGTACCTTGGGATTATGACTACTCAGAGGAGATCTATGATGGTTTGTTTATTTCCAATGGACCTGGTGACCCTGCTTTGGCTTGGGATGCTGTTCTTAATCTCCGCAAGGTATGTGATACCAGCAACATTTAGTGTAGAGGCGTTAATTAAGGGTAAGGGTTAAAAAAATACCGAAGTTTGTTTCAATCTGTCTGTTAAGGTTAAGGTCTTTATTTTATGTTGGTGACAGTGCTCATTCGACTGATAAACCTGAGGGTGACAGTGGGCATAGCCTCACTCCCCCACCCTCCATCAGCGCTCTGTTTTATGGATATTTTAAGCTAGTGAAAGCTACACAGAAAGGAGAGAAGTTGAAACAAGTATTTAAGGTCACAGCTGGGAATTGAACTTGGAACCTCCTACATACAGGGTGCAAAGAAAATCATTTTTACAGCTTGCCATTCGGGTAAGCTGAAGCTAGCATTCACGTAGCCCAGACGTCATTTCAACTAGCCAAAAACAAATTTTTGACTAGCAGAATTGATTTCACAATTCTTGTGTTATTTGAATTCCTCAAAAAACATCACTTGCCCATCGGGCAAGTTAAAAACAGCTAGAATTCACTAGCCTGATAGCAAAATCCACTACCCCCGGGCTATCAGACACTACTTTCTTTGCACACTGTATGTAGAAGGCCTTGCACTAACCAACTTTGTCACTGTGTTTGTTGCAGGTGCTGGACAGTAATCGTAGCCAGCCAGTGTTTGGCATCTGTATGGGAAACCAGCTGACTGGATTGGCTGCTGGTGCAAAGACCTATAAACTGCCTCTGGGAAACAGGTTACTGTTAACTCTTGTGGAAATTCATTCAGCTAGGAAAGATCAAAATTAATAAATTTAGATAGTTCTTTTAACATCAGGGCTGTACCCTAGAAGTGCCCAGAGGCCCCAGGTGGCTTATTTTTGTGACTAGGAAATCTTCCTTTTTTCACGGAAATTGTATTTTGGGCACTGACGATTTCTCAGATTCAGAACGTTGGGCTCTGTAGAATTTTTTCTTAGAGCACAGCCTTGAACATAGCAAAAAAATGGTAGGATTAAAAATTATTACTAGGTTACTATTAACATGGATATGATTCTGGGCTGGTACTGATGTTTGCTTGCTGTCTACAAAACAAAAACTGACTATCAATTTTCTCTCCAGAGGACATAATCAGCCAGTTATTAACCAGCTAAGTGGAGAGGCATTCATCACTTCGCAAAATCATGGATTTGCCATTGATGAGGCTTCACTCCCAGCAGAGTGGAACTCCCTGTTTATAAATGCCAACGACAAGACAAATGAGGTACAAGAAACCTAAGCTTGTAGTATCTTTGATTAAAAACTTTATTTTTGCTGTTGTAAACGGGAGTTGATTTCGTGGCCAACAGATAAGTGTCAACTGTCGACTGCTTGAACATCTCTAGACGTGGCCGGTTTCGGGCTATCAATTTTCTAAGAGACTTTGCACACACTCAAGTCCTGATCACATTCACATTCATCGTTTATTGCTAAATCAAGGTACTTTTATACATATTGGAAGCTAAATCATACGTGGGAAAATATAGTAGGGAATGCATGTGGTTTCCTTTCTAGTAAACACCCTAATTTGATTGAAAGCTTAAAACACTATTACACCTACATTACTTACGTAAATCCTGAGCGGCTAGGTTTGAGTAATCATTCCATCCTACACAAAATCTTATTAGTTTAAAGGGTGTAGCTTGTAGCTTTTACGTTATTCCGATCGGAAGGCACATCTAACTATCTACTTTACACGATGCACATTTTTGCATGCTTGCTTACACAATAGGGATCATATTTCCGGTTCCTATCAAGCTAGTAATTGATCTATTGTTCACTCAAAATTAACAAGTCAGGATTCATTGTACAAAGTGTCACAAATTCCTTAACTTTACTACATTGCCAACAAAGAAATCTAACAGGGCGTGGAGTTTTATTAATGTGGTGAGAGGCAGGGGGTAGGGGGTGAAGGACAAGGGTTGAAAGGTAAGAGGGGAGGGGTAGGGAATCTGAGGTGAAAGATAGGGGTAAAAGGTCCCTACCCCTCACACCGTATCCCCGACCCCTCACCCCATAGCCCTTACCCCTTGCCCCCTTAAAAGATCTGCAAATCCAACAGAAATAAACATTTACCTCTTTGAGCACACAGATTATAAAAGATTGTGATATTTACTACTAAATTAGTGTTATGCTTTTAGGGAATCATGCATACTGAGAAACCAATATTCACAGCCCAGTTTCATCCAGAAGCATTTGGTGGACCTACAGACACTGAGGTAACTATTATGTGGTTATGTTATCTTAGCCAACAGATAAAATCAGAGAAACTGATATGTTTTTCTAGTTTGAACTTTGAGTCCCTGTTTCTCCTCAGTTCTTGTTCGACACATTCATGGATCTTGTCAAAGGGAAAAAGACCTCTGTAACTCATGCCATGTCAAGACCTGTCAAAGTACCACCACCCCCTAAGGTAAGGCATTTGTCACGTGACTCCAACCCCTCTTACATACCTACACCTCTTGACTCCTTTATCCTGAATGCTGACACACTGTATCTTTTACACGACCATATCTGAAGATATTTTTCATGTGACCATATCCCTTACTCAAGATGTCTCATAAGTGACCCCTCTTCCAATGACAGGATTTCAACAGCTCTTAAGACTAAGGTACAATTTCTCTTACATGGTCCCACCCCCTAGGGGAAAACATTTCAAACTAGCCCCCACCCTTATGGTAAAACATAGCCCTGCCCCCTAAATATTAAAACATTCCTTCCATTGCCCCACCCCCTGAGGTAAAATTCTAACATGGCCCCACCCCTAAGATGAAACATCTCTTACATACCACACTCCCTAGGTACATTTCTTTTGTGATCCTTCTAAGAGGTAAGGCAATGCTCACATATGACCTTGAAATAGAATTTTCAGTCTTTCAAAATTATTGAAATGTTTTCATTGAAATCTTAGGTGTCCAAAGTTCTTGTGTTAGGATCTGGTGGCTTGTCCATTGGTCAGGCTGGAGAATTTGACTATTCTGGTTCTCAAGCTATAAAGGCTCTCAAGGTATGTTTGACTTTTTTTTTTTTTTCAACTAAGCTGCCTGTCTTGCCTGCCTGGTTTTGG